TCCTCCTTCAAAATAATGTGCCTATGCTTTTGCATGTAATAGACACGTTATATACAAGTGTATAAATAACTGATAAATGCATCCATGCAGCAAAATTGACATCAAATGTATATTCTTCTAGCACTAGTACGTGTATATGCGAGCGCGTGTGTGTGTGTGTGTGTGTGTGTGTTCATATTCAAGAAGAATGAAATACAATTGTATGCCGTCTTTTCTGCTGCAGTTTAAGCGTCTGTTTACAAATTATCTGAGGATATTCTGGATTATCCGAAGACGACCAAGGAGCGGTTTTTTTTTCAATCTAAGAGTGATCATTTTGCAATCTTTGTATACATATCTTGGACATTGGCCGAGCTCTTTCATATTGTAAGGCGTGATAATTGAATAATAGCCGTAATAGCAAAATATGTATACATATTTTGTGATTTATACCATTCCGGTCAACAGCGGCCTGATCTCTTACACATTTCTGCCTTCGTGTCGCCAGAAATCATGCACACTATAATCATTATGCTCGCACAACAGTTCCCAACCTAATTTAACGTCTCTCGAGTTACCCTTCTTCTTCTTCTTCTTCTTCTTCTTCTTCTTCTTCTTCTTCTTCCATTTTTCACTTCCTAACGCGCGATCAGGGCAGATGCGCTCAACGAGCCAACTATTCCAAACAACAGGAAGTCTACCGTGCTGTGCTACGTTCCTCCGAATACGATCATACAATTCCTACGCTCGTTTACGACGGTCATGGCTTTTCCCTCTCATTAACAAACACGCCCGTCCCGTGTCGTTCACAAACTTCACATGAAGAGTTAATTTTGTACAGAGCTTCTCGAACAACCTGTGACTCCAAATATATGCTCGGATATATAAATAGAAAATACACATACACATATGTATATATAACACGCACATACATATGCTGAAACAAATGAGGCAACAGATCGGTAAATGTTTCGCAACTAATAAACGTCAACCGTGGCGAAATGTAGACAGTTCGCGAGAAAGAAACATTTGACATCGATGCATTCTTTTCCACGGTTTTCATCCCCAGCCCACTGTCGCTGCTAGACGCAGTGTAACGAGTACGGTTCTTCTTAATCGACCACCACCGTGTATCTTTCAGTGACAGGGCTGCAGATGCACATGAAACAAAAGTATCTTTTGCGACTATTCAATTAACAACAGTCGTATAATACTACGAAAATACATTAATTACAGGAAAAAAAAAGATAGAAGAAACAGGAGTGCACAGTTTCTAGTGAACATCAACGGTATTCACTCCCGCTTGTGGCATTAAAAAAAGAACAAAAAAAGAAAATGATTAAATAAATGTTGTACAGTGCCTAGTTACTCATCGTACATCGTATTCTCTTTTTTTAATCGTTTCTCTAAATATTTAAACCGTTGAAATTTAAACGGGATAAAGAAGACTCATACGCGGTATACCGTTCTTCTTCTGAATAGCCCAAGGCTTAAATATGTACCGTTATCATCGTCGTGGCGCATCAGGTAAAATTATAAATACTTCGGTCACAAAACTGCATTGAATGCGCACAGTTTCGCGTATCTCTCTCTCTCTCTCTCTCTCTCTCTTTCTCTCTTTTTCTCTCTCTCT